ATTGCTAACACTAAATAATCATTTTACCTTGTTGCAAAGTTGATAATTGCAATCACGTAAGTATCGTTTCCACGCAATTCGGTGTTGCAATTGCGCAGGTGTGCATTCCAAATAGAGCGCGTACAATTGCGTGCAAATATAATGCAATGCTAATTCTTCATCGTCAAATGATCGTTGAAATCCAAAGATGTCCAAATAATTTCCAAATAATGTTAAACTTTAAGAAAAAGAGAACGAAACAATGGAAGAAAGCAAAAGCAACAATTAATGCTAAGTAAATTTTGCAAATTGACTAAAATTTCTTTAAGTATTATATTTTATTGAAAAAGACTTTCAAATAACAATCATATTCTTTAATTTCAAAATTTTAAGAAGGATTTTACTAAATTGAAAGAATAATTAGAAAATTATTGTCGTATTAAAGGAAAAAATGTTCATGAATAAAATATTAATAAAAAATACCTTTCAAAAGTTGGTAATGTTGGATCAATTGCTCGCGCTTCATTTAACAAACTTATCACACGCTTTTTATGCTAATAAAAAAAGAACAAAATTATCGCAATGAAAAATGATAAGAACATGTGATATTTACTTGTTTAGAAGAAACTATCACAAAAAAACAAGAACAGATAAATATTTTTAAAATTTTGGTAAGAATGATTGAAACTTACAATATGGCTACCGAGTAGTTTAGCCTGAAGGACATCAACAGCCTGTTGTTCATCAAGTGAAATTTTAATACAGCTTTGTAGCAAAAATACATATTCTCGTTTAAAATTATTCAAATCTTCTAGTAGCTTTTCGTTTAATCTAAAGAGAAAAATCTTTTGGATAAAATGAATTTAAATTTAGGTTAATTAAAACCTACTGATATCGATAATATTTGTAGATAACAGTCTTAATAGATTAAATTTGAATATTTTGTGTTTTCTAATTAGCATAAAGCTACAAAACTAGCAATTGATTTAATCTGAAAATGTTTTAATTATTATGGTATTTAAATGTATAATGTTTGATAATAATGCAGATAAGATATAGAACACAATGGAGACTATTAATATACTCATATACTTTCAATCAAAAAATGCTGATATACTCATATACCTTCAGTCATTTCAAAATAATATTTTTTCGAAATAATAGTGATTTTAAAACAAATTATTAATTATTTCTTAATAAGCTTACCAGTGATTTCAAAATAAAATGTCTGATTATTTTAAAATAAAGTTAACAATTGTTTTGGATTGAAATTATCAATCGTTTTAAAATAAATTTACAAAATAAAACAAAATAAAACATGGGATTTGTTACTGTTTTAATTGAAAAGTCTGTTTTTGTTGTGTGGCACAGCGCTTCAACAATCGGATCACTTCACTGTTCAGAAATTTGTTTCGATTTGCCAACGAAAATATTTGTTCGGTTGTCAAATTTGTCGTTGTAACATTCCGAAAGATTCATTCAATATTTTAGCAAATTTTCCATCCAACAAAATTAAAGAAAATGGTGAAAAAATTATTCTTTCAATTTTGTCATTACTAAAAAAATAAAAAAGAATGAGAGAAAGAAGAGAGGAAAAGTAGAAATCGAGCTAAAAATTTGATAAATTTTTTTTTTCAATTTAAGAATGGTATTAAATTGCACAGAAATTTTCATTTTAAGCAATTAAATTAAACCTTTTTTTCATTTTAAATGAAAAAATTAACAATTTTCCTATGTTTAATGGATAGAATAAAAATTTAGCGAAATAAAAGAGAAAAAAATTATGAAATTAGAGAGAGAGAGAGAAAGTTTCTGAAAGTAATATTGTGAGAGTGTAAACTAACATGGTATCTTTGAGTTGGGCAAGTTCGATGGATAACATTTTTTTCCCTTCGTTAAGTTCTTGAATTTTTGCTTTCTGTCTGTTAGTGATAGCTCTCAGCCAATTCAACTCGTTTTCCTCATATCTGAAATTGACTTATTTATATTAAAAGATAAATGATAAGTGAATAAGGTTAGGTAAACTTAGGTAAACAAAAAATATATGTCCATATGAATGAACTGTAAAACTGTTATTGCTTTTAGCTGAAGTTGATTTATTAGTGCTGAAATATAAATTATAATTAAAGTAAGCAATAAACAGCTATTATTGTTGACAGTGATAACTATTAATAAATTGATAAATTAACAAATATGCATGATGCGATTTATCACATTTGTTTCTTTAAAAAAAAAAGAAAAAAAAACCTTTTAACAATTTTTCTTCAGCATTTTTTCAGTATTCCTATTATTAAATTCAAGTAATTATTAATAAATTCAAATACCCATCATCATATGACAGTGTTTCATTGCCATCATCATCACATGTTGTAATATCAGAAGCTCTTATATTTTGTTTGCTACTATAATAGACGAATGTTTTATATTTAAATTTATTTGTTATATTTCGCAGTGAATTTCAACAAAAAAGTTTTTTCAAATAACTGCTTCTAATTTCATTATATTTTGTTATTCCATTGAAAACAAAAAATTGTTTTTCTCTAATTGAAAAAGTTTAATGAAACATTTTTTCCTGAAAGACAAAAAAGAAAAATGAGAAAGAAAATACCTGCTGTCAGCAGGAATACTTCCGGTTTCATGAGTACACTTCTCGAACGGTTGTCCATTAATCCATTCAAGAATCCATTTATCGCTTCTCAACGGAATTTCCATTCTGGGATTTTCATCACAGCCAAGCAATTTTTCCGACAATTTATCCAATTGTTAAAAAAAAAGTTTATCAGAAAATTCATTTCCCATTTCGTTTCCTTTAGTATGTAATCGCAGTAATTTGAAATTTATATAACACAACTCGCAGATGTTTCATACATTTACATTAATGAATATGCGAAATTTTGTTTTTGCCAAAAAAATAATATTTTTCATTTAAAAATTTTGCAGCTGTAATATATTAGCAAATATAAATTCTACTGCAAGTTTTTTAAAAGTGAATTTTTTAATTTATTAATAACTTCAAATCATAATTCATCTATTTAATTTATTAATAACTTTAAATTACAATTCATTAAATATTTAAAGTTTCATTCTTGTTCACTCATTAACAAATTTTCAATTAACACTAAAATTTTAACAATACCATTGAATTTTCATTGAGCAGTTGTTTACGAGAATTTTTGCCACCGCATGATAGTAATGAGTGTCGAGAATATTTTCGAAGAATGCCTGTAATGATTTCCGATTCTTTCCGTTTCATCTTTCTGAATTGAACTTATGGAATTCACTTTTTTTTTGTTTCAAATAATCTTCTAAGTAATTACTTCCAACTATAAATTATTTAAGATAATTTTAGAGTCATTTATCACATCTTATATATATCATATATAATACTAATTGTTCCTTAGACAATCCATTTTCCAAATCTGCGTGTAAATTTCAACAATTTAAATTTTTATCGGATGAGAAATGTTCGTATTGGATTTTTAAACCAACTTGATTTTTTTGCTCCAATGGATGGTAAATTGGATGGCACTGAACGACTAACATTGTGGCCATTTTTCAAATCTGTAATTTTTCGAATTTCTATAATTTAACATTTTCCCGGCAAATTTGTCAAATTAACTTTTTCACTTAGCACATCTAACGCATATTTATGTGATGCAAATTTCAATTAATTATAATTGAAAATATGGACAACACGCAACTAATTAATTTTGAGCTTTTCCCTAGCGTCGCTTTAGTTTTCATCGTAGCTAATTCACTTTGCTTTTCTTTAGCATGAATATTATCATCGCAATCACTTTCGCTCTGAAAATAATTTTTCTTTTAATTTTCTCACTTTAAATACGTTTTTTATTTCAATTAATTTTTTTCGAAAGATTTTTTATTGTTTTCGAAAATTTTTAAGCGAAAAGCTCCGATTTAATCTAATTCATTGCAAAAGAATTTTAGTGAGATTATTTTATTTTTTATTTAAAATAAATTTCCAAGACTTAAAATGATATTTCAAAAGTCAATCGGAAAAATTCCTTTGAATATAAAGGAAATTTGTATTAAATCAAACAACAATCATTATATTTTGTTAATCATTTCAATGCAATTCTCTATCATTGATCATGGTAACATTCGTAGTTCATGAAATATTTTATCATTTTTTCGTATTTTTCTTACAAAACGTTACAAGTTACTAGGAAAGTATTTGAGCTTACCTTTTCGGTATTGATTGTTTACGTTATGTGCATAAATTAAAATGATATGAGTACGGTAAATTAAACAAATAAAAGAAATATGATAAATTAAATGCTAAAAAAAACAGATTCAAAATAAATTAGAAATATTAAGAAAAAAAATTAATAAAACTTTACTGATATTGTTTCAACAAGTATCTCTTCAAGCATTTGTGTTTTTTTCCTCCGTACGCTTGTAATCAATTCAACGTTTTCACCTCGATGTTGCAACGCATTAAACCATTTGCTTGCACTTTGTTCATTCTCCGCGTCAAATTCTAATTTGCGCCCGTCAATACTGTAGGTAAAGTATTTTGTGAAAGTAAGACATTAATGAAATATAGAAAAATAAAAAAAAAGAATTTTCTATTAAAATAATTAGTGTTATCATACAAAAAATTATTCAAAAAAGAACTTCATGAAATAAGATGTTGAAATTAAACAGAGTTTTCGGTACCTTTGTTTGTTTGTTTCATATCCTTTTCTTAAATCATATTTTTGATTTTTTTTTTTGTTGTTATTGGTTTAAAAAATATCCTTTGAGATCACGAAATATTTCTAATTTTTACTTTTTTTTAATATAAAGCAACAATGCCATCATTTTGGTTGAAGAGCATTCGAAGAAACAAAATAGCAAGAATATATCGCCGGATATTACTCTTAATTAACGCTTTTAAAATTAGAAAATAGGATTTTCATTTTTTTTTTTTTAACATAACATTTTGATGTCTTTTGATGAATTCCCCCAATGCTTTATGCATTAAAATATCGGAAACGAAAGTTTGAAACAATCATTGAAATATTTTATGCGATAATATATGACATTATTTATACAAATTATTTTGTATATTTTCCTCTTTTATCATATTTGTTTTATCCCTTTTATTTATAAATCAAAAATATGATTCTTCATTTTTACTAACATTAATTTACTTTACTTAACATTTGAAAAATGTTATTGCTGGAAAAATTATTTTGTTGTTAAATTGTTATTGTTATTATACTCATTAATTGCAGCAATGATTAACCAACAACCATATCATTAAAAATGACTAATTATTAATTATTTAAAGTTTGCTTCACAGTTACATGTTGTTGCTGCTGTTTTTAATTGCTACTAATATATATACCCTATCAAATTTTTAATAGGACAGGAAATATCGTGGAACTATTTGATGCTATTTGCTAATGATCAAAAGCTAAGCGTTAGAAGTTAATTTAAAATTTTATGCTTATATTACAATGAATTAAAAAATTAAGAATAGGCTAATTTTAGATTGGAATTTTTGTTTTTTTTTCAAATTTATGACCAATTTAGCTGGTAATAATTATATTAAGATGTAGCGTAGCGATCTAGTCTGAATGGAAGATATTCGCTTAATTAAATTACAATTTATGAAGCTGATAAGCTAATTTATATTAATTGATAGAAATTATCGTTGATTATTCGATTAGTAGCGCCTAGTACTGTTTGTCTAACTCAAAATGTTGTATTTTAAGGGCTATACGTAAGAAAATTTTTTCCCATTTTCATTCCAAAATTGCCACTTGTCTTGAAACGCATTATAATTAGTACATAAATCATTTGCAGACTTTTATTGTTCCAATCGAAATTTGCAATATTTATGAAAAAAGAAAAAAATTTTTGCATGAAAGTTAATTTTAAATGAAAAAGAATGAAGTTTTCCTTTTATTAGCCGCATCAAACTATGCGATATTTTTCTCACTTTTTGCAAATGTTGTTGACGTTTCCCTTTTTGTTAAAATGATTCGAATTATTCCACCTGAGTTATCCACCATGATTGAATGTGAATGACGTGTGTAAAAAAAGTATGGAAAATGTTTCAGTTGACTAAACATCAAATTAGTAACAATCTTTCAGCATTATCCTAAATGATTTCTGCTTAAAGTTATTTGAAAGAAAAGAAGTTAGTTTTTGATTTGAATCAATTTTGATTGAAAGTTTTTGATTTAATTTTCCGATCACCTCTACTATATTATGTTTGCTCGATTTTGAAACAATTCCAATCATTTTAGCAAAAAGTAAAATGATGAATTCATAATACTTGTTGAAAATATTAAATAAAAGAGAATTTCCCGCTAATAAATATTCCAATCAAAATCGAAATATTTATTGCTCTTAACAGTTTCATGAAATAAAAAAAAATTTTAAGATCATGAATAA